CCTGCCACACTCTGATGTGCCTTTTGTCGCTTTCTTCCAGAGTTGGTGCCGTTGCATAGTGTTGTTTCCTCAGTTGTTACATGCTCCCTCCCGCCATAGGCCTTCACGGCTGACCGCGTTTAGAGTTCAACATGCCGGCGCCCAGCTCTGCCAAAGTGGTGAGCAGGGTCTGCTGCGCCCCACCACCTGCGCCAACAAAGGACAATGATTGTCAAAGGCTGGCCCGCAGAAGGGCAACACAGCGTGACATCCTCGAAATGCAAGGCGGCCCTATTGCCGCTGCCCGTCGTGATCACTCACAGAGGTACTAAGCCACAACCACACCCGGTGAATCTAAAGAAGGTGCGCTGTCCATCCACTACCTTCCACTCACCCTCGTGAAGCTAGGGTGTTGGCAGCAGCTCGCACCAACTTCTTTCGAGCCACCCTGCAACAGGGTCTAGGCTGGTAGGCAGGCCGACACCGCCTGTGTGTATGTATGTATGCATGTACGCATGCATGAATGTATGTATGTATGTTTGTTTGTTTGTTTGTTTGTTTGTTTGATTGTTTGTTTCTTTGTTTGTTTGTTTGTTTGTATGAGTGTGTGTGTGTATGTATGTATGTATGTATGTATGTATGCATGTATGTATGTATGTATGTGCGTATGTTTGTTTGTTTGTTTGTTTGTATGTATGAGTGTGTGTGTGTGTATGTATGTATGTGTGTGTGTATGTATGTATGTATGTATGTATGTATGTATGTATGTATGTATGTATGTATGTATGTATGTATGTATGTATGTATGTATGTGTGTGTGCATGCATGCATGCATGTATGTATGTGTGTGTGTGTGCCTGTTTGCGTGTGCATTTATGTGTGTATATGCATGTATGTACGTATGTACGTATGTATGCATGCATGTGTATGTAGTATGTAGTATCTAGTATGTGTGTGTGTGTGTTGGTAGGTAGGTATGTACGCGTGTGCGCAGCCATGCTGATCGGACTCCGTGATTCCGTGATTCATCTCAACGCGACCCCCCCCCCCCCCCAAACTGTGCTGGATTGTTAAGTGGCTAACTGGCCCTCCCCCCGATTGCTAACTTGTTAACTTCCCCCCCCTGCTAGATTGTTAACTTGCTAACTGGCCCTCCCCCGTGGCTAACTGGCCCTCCCCCCGATTGCTAACTTGTTAACTTCCCCCCCCCCCCTGCTAAATTGTTAACTTGCTAACTGGCCCTCCCCCCCGATTGCTAACTTGTTAACTTGCTACCTGGCCTTCCCCCCGGAAGGAGTGCTGACTTGTCAACTTGCTGACTTCCGCCCCCCCTCGCCCCCTCCCCTCCGACTTTGCTAACTTGCTAACTGGCCCTTCCCTCTCTCAGGATTGCTAACTTGCTAACTTGCTAACAGACCCTCGCCCCCCCCCCCCGAAGGATTGCTAACTTCTGAACTTGCTAACTGGCCCTCCCCCCCGAAGGATTGCTAACTTGTTAACTTGCTAACCCCCCCCCCCCCGACTTCACTGACTTGTTAACTTGTTAACTTGCTAACTGGCCCTCCCCCCCGAAGCATTGCTTCGCTAACTTGTTAACTTGCTAACCCCCCCCCCCCGCCACCGACTTCACTAACTTGTTAACTTGCTAACTGGCCCTCCCCCCTAACTTGTTAACTTGCTAACCCCCCCTCCCCCCCTCCGACTTTACTAACTTGTTAACTTGCTAACTGGCCCTCCCCCCCCCCCCGAAGGATTGCTAACTTGTTAACTTGCTAACTGGCCACCCCCGGTTGGCCCTGGGGCCTACGTGTGTGTGCTTGTAAAACGGTTTAAATTTTTTTTGATCCTGATTTAATTTTTTTTTGATTCTGAATTAATTTTTTTTTGATGCGCATGCCGACGCTGCCGGCCTCCGGATTCTCAAGGTTTCAGCCCGCCCCCCTTCTCAGCGAGGCCACCAGGTAGAGGCAGTGGATTGGCCCCCAAAAATATGAATGTTGTGTTGAGTGGCTAAAGTCCATGAACTTAGGGAGTCAGTCGAATAGGCGGATGCCGGGAAGAAGCATTTTCCTTTGGGAATAAGCAACAATTGGTCAGGATACTTCTCAAAGACACCAAGCAGGACTCCCTACTTACATTTCCGCCTTAGGCATCACCCCACTTGAGAAATTTCACTTCAATTCGCACACATGATGATGTATTATCTAAACCTCAATTCAGTCCTAAACTGGCTCGAAGGCTTTATGCTATGCTGCGATTTCTATTTGTAAAAGGCTATGTTGCGAGAGAACAATGTTCATCTGCAAAGCAATGACCTGTATTATACACCTGAAAGTAGATGGCACATATTGATATTCCCTTTATGCCCGTAAGTTAAATGCTGATACACACTAATTCAATGCGAAGGTTACGCAATATACTTTCTAGGTATCTCCGGACATCGGGAATCGAAACCGTTTTCATTGGATTGGCCTTCAGTTCTCAGAAGAGCGCCAGCCATAAATCGGGTCTCCCCACGGGT